TCCATTACTGAATCCAATTCTACTCCTGATTCCGAAAGCTCCTACAAACTGCAGTCCGGGTGCAATCAAGGATTGATTTTATCTACAACTACATGATCCGTGTTCCTCCAACAAGTCGTTCTTACACGAGATTTTAACGCCCGACTGGCCCGTCTGCAATCAAACGAGCACCATCTTTTGAGTAGTTTTTTCCTCGGTAGTAGTCGACCGGACAATGGAGACAGGCTACTGACTCTTTGTACGGATCATTGCTTGTTTCTTTCGAGTGCCAGTTTTCGTCACTCAAAGTGGCAGACCGCTACTTGGTGCTCACCATCTCAATTGCATGAGTTGTCCCAGCTTAACCACATAACAATAAGCTACAGATGGCGCGTGAGTGTAAGACTGCCGATCATACTGGTCAACTTGTCTGGACTCCGGTCACGCATTGCTTCGTGCTAAGGTTTGCATGCGTTTTGGAGCATCGCCCAGGCGTACGCACTACTGGCCGAACGTAGAAAATTTACGGGACCCTACGACGCAGTCCAAGTACCAGGCCTCTCTACCGACACTTCTTACCTCAGCTTCTGACGTTGATCTGAATTCAATGGGTGTGCATCAAGGACGTCCTATTTACTGCCAACATTGATAGTTGTGGAGTTACCCGTCACTCGCCGAAAACCTGGATCACCTGTTTCTTCTTATAGCTGATTGACAAGCGCCACTCCAACCCGACCGACGCCAGCTGTAGTGAAGAACATCGATCCCTGGATCGAGAATTGCGCAGAAGCTTGCAAAAGGACCGTGAAGCCTGGTGGTGGACATGCTAGAGAGGTGAAACTCGCTAGTCTATCTGGTAACACCGGAGAACTATTCTATCTCACCCGAGTCACCAAAGGTTTACAGTCTGGTGTAAGCGAAACAATTTATGAACAGGATGATCCACTGATCACTAATCTTCAACAACTGTTGGAACGATGGGCTAAACATTATGGCTTACAGTCTGGCTGGCCATCAGCCCCATCTGCTTCCTCTGGAGCGCTAACTGGTGCTGAGCGGTCTGTCCCCACATATCCTCCTTACCAGGAAATCTGGCAGGAACTCCGTCTACTTAAGCGTCATCAAGCACCCGGATCTGATGGTATACCTCCTGCTGTCTTTAAAAATGGTGGCCATCCACTGCTTCAAAAACACCGCTTTGCTCTCCGAAGTTTGGTCAAGCATGGAGGTTCCATCGTCTTTGAGTGAGTCGATAGTTGTCCCCATTTTCATGAAAAGCATGCGCATAATGTGATCCATCTACAGAGGTATAAGCTTGGTTCCCATCGTCCGCAAGCTTCTGGTGTCCATCATACTTCCCAGACTCTCCCCAGTGCGCGAATCGCTACATTGGGCAGAACAAGTTGGGTTGCGCCCTGGTCGCAGCTGCATCAATCAAATTTTCACACTCCGCCAGATCCTCGAGCTCCGCCGTGTATATAAAAAGCCCACAGTTGTCGTTCCTGAATATCCGTGCTACCTTCGATTCTGTCGACAGAACTGCGTTGTGGCAGTGTCTGTTGTGTAATGGTGTCCCCGATAAGTTCGTTTCTATACTGAGTGCTATGTACCGTCTTACTTCAGGTAGTGCTAGGGTTCATGGCAAGCTTTCGCCTTCCTTTGTTGTCATCGTCACGGCGTACAGCTGATACTATTATTATTATTACTATTATTATTATTTTCTTATTCAGATCCTGTTTTCATATTCTGCCATGATTCTGGTGATGCTATATCTGTGCCACAGATTGTTATTTACTACTAACACTAATACTAATAATGATATAATATAGGCTGCATCTGGGCGATTAATTTGGTATCGGTTCCCGTAATGATAACGGTGAGCGGTTACTTTATTTGTATTAGATACCCACTTATTCTTACGAGCTCCCACTTCCGACACAGCACACACCGAAGAGTGACATGTTATCCACTAGTCTTGGACGCAAATCGGTGATATTGGGACCAATTATCGCTGGAGAGGCTTCGTCCAAAACTGTCGCTCGATTTGGAGCACATGTGTGGACACTGACCCTGCAGTTGTATGTGTTGATCTGCGGATGCATTTTGGTGGGCGTCCTCGACGACTTTGTGAGCACGTAGACCAGCCAAATGGCGAAGCGAGATGTTCTGAATGCGTATTGAAGTGCGCTGGCATTCGGTTCGAGCAAACGTTTACTGATTACAGTTGCAAGTCACTGGTCATGTTCTCAATAGACCTTATTAGCAGCAGGTAAATCTTCATGGGGTAACTCCTATAGTCAGCATGGACATTGTGTCTCGACGCGGTCTCTAGAACTTCTCGATGCTCGCCGGTACATTGCGGTTGGAAGTCAACTTAGTGAAACTCGCAAAGACCCAAGGGCAAAACTCCATACTATCCTGAAGAAAAACCGCCCATCTCAGTGGTCTATTCGTACGTAAGCGATAGTAGTGACTGCTGCTCTTGGTAACCATCGGAAATTCCTCTGTTAGATATGGATAACGGACAGCAGGTCTTGTGTTAGTGAGAACATATGTGACCAGATTAAATTGCCTATCCTCAACTTGTCAAAACGCTTGGAACGCTAGGCTGAGCGCTTTGAAGGACAATTTAATCGAGCGGAATTATCGAGTTTCTCGCCGGCTTTTTATTGTTCTGCTCCCTTTTCTGTCCTTCGGATCCACCCTCTCGCTCAGAAGTCGAATGTGAGATCAGACTTTTGAAGTTGGACAATGCCGCAGGACCACATGGTCTTTTTCCAGTCCTTTTCAAATTCAGGGACCCAGCTCTTCTTGATTTACATGAGTTGTGGAAGCAGGAAACTGTCCAAACCGTCTGAAGCCGCTCCGTTATTCTCGTTATCTTGAAAAGGGGTTCCCGTTCGTAATGCGGCAACCATAGAGGAATCAGTCTGATCTCCATCGTTTCCGAATTGCTTGCCCCTCCAGTTTCACGAACTAATTGACACTCGGCAAAGCCAGGTTCGTGAAGAGCAAGCCTGGTTTCCTCGAGGTCAGTCTGCATTGATCACATCTTCACCTTACGTCAGTTGTTGGAGCACCGTCACATATATTGGTTTCCCACTGTTGTCGTTTTCCCCGACATCGATGGTGCTCTGGGTTCAACGGATCGATGTGCCCTTTGGCACTTTCTAATCAGAAAGGTATGCCCGAGAAATATCTACGCTCCATATATAGATGACACCGTCGTGGTGTTGGACGAAGCCCAACGAGCGGAACGCATGCTCAAAACGTCTAACGAATGTCATCCAGAGATCGAGTTCCTCATGGAAAACGAAACATCGGGAAAGTTTCACTACTTGCATGTAGCTTTGGAAAGGGTCAGATGCGTCGCTCCTGAGATCAATTTATCGCAAACCGAGTTGGACGGTGAATAATATCCCAGCACTACACGCTCGTAGCTCGGACAGTTTGAATGCTTACGGCAAGCTGTCGCTACATTTCGTTATCTGCAGTGCTGTCATTTTTCTCTCCAACTTCTCCATTGACGATGTCATGGAGAACGCATTCACAGCGCACGACTTAGGTGTGGTGCTGTTCCCAGGTGAACGTCTTGGCTTCGAATATGCTGACGACATTGCCGTCATCTGTGACAGCTCCCAAACCTGCCAAGCTGCACTGGACAAATTAGCACTGGCTATCAACCGTTTATGGCTTTGCTTTGCACTCTCGAAGTGCAAAGCTTTCCTCAAGGAATGGCAGCGACCGTCTCTTGCGCGGATTCCTAATGGGAATCAGTTAAAAGTCGTTCAGTAATTCAAATTCCTAGGCAGTCCTATCAGCACCTGAGGCGAGGTCACAACGCGTGTAGCAAAGGTTCGAGGCACTTTTGCTAACCTGCGCCACATATGACGCCGGCGTGACATCACTATCTCCCTGAAGAGTAGAGTTCACAATACAGCCGTATGTTCGACCCTGCTGTACGGTTGTGAAGTCTGGCCCCTTAGATCGGCAGACTTAAAGAGGCTAGTTAATTCCCACCATCGGCGCCTTCGTGATTTGACACACGTCTTGTGGGAACACCATGTGAACAATGAGTGTGTTCTACGCCTTGTTTATGGCACTGAAACAGGTAGTGATCCGCTCAGCATCATTATTTCACACACCAGGCTCCGATGGCTGTTTGACGTGTTGCGCATCCCAACACAGCGACTTCCGCGACGTGCGTTGTTTTCGCGCCGGGGTTGTAGATGGAAGAAGGGGAGACTAAGCTAAGCGCTGACTTGGTCAAGAGGAATGAAAGCTCCAAGTTCGAAGTTGACCTCGGTTGAATCTTCTCGGCTCCCTGGTTGGGATCCGAAAGCTGATGAGCATGTTTGACTGGGTACACTTGTGGACATGGGTCGGAGCCGACTTCAGTGTCGTTCGTGTTGTGCGTCTTTTTGTCCCTTCCCCTCCCGCTTAGCCTCCCATTGCAATCACGATCTGATTTCCGACGCATAATATAATACTGTTTTTGCGGCACAACAGCCGGCTGTTAACTCACCGCAACGATGCCTGTACTTGGTGGCTCAACTTGCGTGCCTCTGTTGTATTTTATATTATTTTTTATTGCGGATCAACAGCTGACGTGCCTTTCCACATAGCTAACTTCTATAATGATGTATAATGATGATAACGTGTGTTGTCCATGAGTGAATATATTGTTGCTATGTTAAGATTGAAAACATATGTTTACTTGTGCTAGATGTAAAAGAATATGATTATATTGTGCTTTGTGCGCCTTCGTCATTGAAGAGTAAGTTTGAGTTTTTAACATGGAAATATCCTAATCTCGACGAGGTGCAAAATAATAGTTTAATGAATGTTCGTTGCACGTTTTCTAATACAGTGCGGTCGCGTTTGACAGAATATTGTTTTTTTGTATTCTCCGCGTTATTTTTGCGGAAATATTTTTGATCGTGCCCAGCTGCTCCGGGAGCTATCTCTTTTTCGATTTTAACCTTTTACGTTGATTGCTTTTTTTCCAGATTTTGCATATCATGAGATTAAAGACAATATACAAGACCTCTTTACTGGTCGGTGGACTATTTTTGTATACTTGCTTCATTCTGTATTTATACGCCGGCTCGAAAGATCGACCTTCCGACGCGTTGTTGGGAAAGATGGCAATTGTTCGTGAGAAGGGATTGGTGGCATTAGAGATGGAGTGGTTGAACCACGTAGCCGCAGGAGACAAGTGAGTTTTTCCCTTTGTTCTTTTGTGTGCTTTCCTGAACTACTAACTGAGCTTAGCTAGATGGTGCTTTTTTAGCCCTTCGCGCTAAATAGGTCAATGGCTATAGGCCAGACTTGTCAACAGTCGAAATGGGAATGCCTCTGTATTCCTTGTAACAGACTCTCTGTAGCTCAGTGCCAAACTCACATTGCCTATCATTTGTGAAACTCAGACAAATAACAGGTAGAAATCGACTCTCTTTCACATTCATTCTTTATCTTACCTCGCATGTCTGTTTTGTTTAGTGCTGAGTTGTTGCAAATTCAGCCGTGGGTCATTTCATACGGTTTCCTTCAACTTTTCAGAACGGTTCAACAGATATCAGGAAACAAAAACCGCCTCGTCGTGAATAACGTTACCCACGTAAATCCCTTGAAATCACCTCGAATCTTTCAGGTATGTCTTTTTCGACTTCGAACAAACTGCGATTTGTTGCCTGTCCCTCCTAGTCCCGGTAGGCCAGTTGTCTGTGGTATAGCCGAGGTTGACGTCATTAATCTCATAGTTCGTTTTTGTCGTTCGTGGCCCTAGTACTACTATAGTACCATCATTCTGGTGCGCATCGATGTACAGCGTGTATAGTGCACTACAACCTCTTTTTCCCAATTTCACTCATGACCTGGTAGATGTCACAACTTCCTGGTGACTTTGTAAGCATTGCTTGCTAACCCACATTTTCCTTTCGTTGTATCACAAAATGTAGTTAGATTATATTACCAAGAAACAAAAGAGAATACACGAATCCCTTCTAACTTTGTACTCTTCATGTAGTGATATGAAACCGTACTTGCCATTTATTTTCCCAAATAATTTTATTTATCTTGTGATTGTGGTCAGTGATCGATTGCTTCTTTCTAACCATGGTAAGGAATGCCACGAGCTTGGAAATCTTTTACAATATTTATGTTTCCATACTACACCTCCCTACCTGAGTTTGATCGTGGAACGCAGTCTGAGATCGAGCAATATGGAAACGCTCCTACTTCAACCGCCGTTTCTTGGATCATAATGACTAAAGCTCACCTCAAATTCAGTCATGATCCGGCCGGCCCTTGTCCTAAGGATTCACAAGCCTGCGTTACAATCCGAGATCACAAGTTCGAGCCTGCGCAGTGAACCGGGCGACTCTCGCATTATCCTTAGCCCACGCGCGACTGTTGGTGGTTGTGTGGGATGGAAACGTCGTTACTGCGTACTTTGTTACTTTTTTTACCAGTCAGGATCCGCACTGGGACTGCTTCTTGCCATCAAGACTCTCCAACAAAGCAGGACCACACCTGAAATATAACCATGTGCCGTGCTCAGATCCATTGCTGACTAGCTATCAGGTTACGCCAGATGACACATCTGCGTCCAGTGTTCTGAAGGCAGTGTTGCTGTACAAAAATCGGTCTACATTTGCAGCAAACATTTTCGATTGCCTTTGCTTTCGGAACTGGGCTTGGACTTCCCACCTAACTGAGCTGCTGAGCAGCTAACGCCACCTACATATGCATTAGTATTTCCTTCAGTTGAAACGATATCTGCGTCAGTAGCACTGAGGCGGGGTGCTATCGACCCTAGATAGCGTACTTGGCCGCATAGACGGAACTCATAAAAAAGCGTTGTTACAGTCTTCCGAGGCTCTCAGCACTTATCTAACGCCACAGACTTGAGTAGTTAGGTCACGTCCTACGCAGACCAGACACTGCCTTCACTAGGGCGGTGATTTCGCCCTCTCCTTGCCAGGGTTGGTATCGTCACCGTGGTGGACAATTGGAAACGTGGCTCGCTGCAGTGAAATCAGATGTTAATCTTCTGTAACTCGAGGTTGTGGATGATGCTCCTCACTGGAAAAATCACTGGATCAGTATTTGCGTAGAGCTTTCCGCCGACCGCCGCTCTTCGGTAGCTACAATCCGCGACATTCATTAAGTCGGTTTATCCTATTGCAGTAAACTAAGTAAAAGTAAGTAAAATCGCTTACGTTAGTTACTATTGTAAGGCACTGTTCACTTACGGCTGTATACGTAAATGCAACCAACGGATGATGACTCAGTCGTGGAGTTGGGACCACAGTTGGGACAGGAATCGGCCACATATACATGGAAAATGTCTCTTACACATCATCTTCATACTTGAAATGTAACCGACTATAGGATTGAACTCAGTAAGCCTATCAGTCCGACTTGCCCGGTTGAGAAACGGCAATTGCATTTTTTTGGTCTCTGCAAAATATCGTCTGCGCACAGGTTTCGCAAACCGGTTAGTAACTTGCATCGTTGATAGCTTTGCAAGTTCGATGAATTGAACCCTTGATTCCTTTTTCGACTTTGTCATAATTAACGCCTTCATGTAAAACTTGTTGTCTTAGCTATTGAGCGCTTGATGTTTATGTTGTGTCGTAGCCCCGCGACTACTTTCCACTCACTAAAGATAGTGAGAACACGAACGGCCAGAGACAGAGACTCACGGGTTTGTTGCATAGTTAAACCAGTTCGTTATATAGCATAACGCACAAGCATGAAAGCCAACCGGAGTACGATAAGCATGCGGACAAATAAAGCCAATAAGAACGGAGCAACTGAGAAACCAATCAAATGCACGCAAAGGACGTAAACTGAGAGTGATAGCGTCAGAGTATGGCTGCGAGCTGAAGGTAAAAACAACGACTCCAAATATCCAATAAGAATAGCGAAATGATGCCTTAAAACAAACATTGGTGAACCTCCATAGCGGGACGAAAGTCTGCAGTCATGAACGGCTACACAAGTATACCTGTATTTTTCTTGCACCTCCAACACTTACCTCTCTTAAAAATCAGCTACATGGAGGTCACATGGCTCTTCGGACGAGAAGACCCACCTGGGTCCACATGCATCCAACACCAAAGTGGTTCGGGCTCAGACCAAGTGTGCAGTGTCGTTCGTTCTAGTACGTTGTCAGCACAGGAGTATTCGAGACATCTATCCCCTTTAGTGCAAGACATGACATAATTCATTGAATCCTTGAGCAAGTCTAACTTCGGGATTCCTTCCCCTTTGGACAGATTAATGTCCGCACGTCTGGCTAGGTAAATGGTCTCCAGGCGTTATGTCTTTGTTCACAGGCGATTACTCTGTCTGTCTGTAACAGTACCCCTGGTGTATTTTGGGTCATGAGTTTGGTTAATTTGACCAACGTCTTGTCAGTTTTTGTCCTTATCGATTGAGAAACCACCGTGATAGCAGACACTGTTTGTGGCTGAAGGGACATGGGAACATAACCGCGTTTCATTTTCAGGCATCTTCTCATCCCTACTAATCTTGCTACATCGTGGAAACTGGTTCTTTTCAGTTTCAAGCATGTCTGCACCCTTGGAGTACACACGTGCCTAAAGTTTCTTGCTTCTTGAGAAAGAGGATTTCTGTAGGCGCAATCTCTCGTTGGTTGCCTCCCACCACCATACCAAAATACTATCGGGGGCTTCCGGTCCGGCACTTCACAGCTCAAATGTTGGCCACGAATAACTGTATGAAAGGATTGGGATTTGGTTCTGTAATCCGAAACTTCTATCATTTTTGGGCCTTTGTTCCAAGTGAACAACCTATGGCATTCAGATTCAATTTCACGCGATATCAACCTGGGTTCCGATTTCCAATCCACTTGCATGTGCAGATTTTCTGATAACAACTCAATTAACTGCCGTTGAGACTTTTCGAAATGTAATTGCTGCTGCTGGAGCAAGGACTGCATCTGTTCGAATGAAATAGCCATGATTCTTCAACACCTCCCGTTCTCACACATGCATACCTGTATTTTTCTTGCACCTCAAACAGTTTACTTAGTTTCCGACACTTGACTGCAGCTGACTTTCGCGATAGTGGACAATTTTTCTACCGCCTGTAGTGACCAAATTAAGCAGCAACTGGGGAAATAAATGCTGAAATCATGTTAAGCAGCTTTAGTAACCTACTAAACTGTGGGGAACTGTTTGATTCTTTACAATCGTTGCTTTAGCGTTTCTTCGACATACCGGGTTGGGGGTTGGAATGAGGGTGGCTCCTTATTCCTTAAAACGAACTCCTTGTAGCCCAGTGCCAAACCCGCTGCCTTGCGGTCAGGTTTTTGAACCAAAGGCTTTGGTTGAGAACCCTAATCGTTCTCCTGTCCAGGCCTGGACAACCTGACAGTATCCTGCCCACGCAATACAGTGAGTCACGCTTCAAACAAATTTCTGATGCTCTGGCCACCGCAGAGGATAATCAACGGTGTCCTATCTGCTGCATCGGGCAGGGTAGATAGGAGTTTGGATGCTACTGCTCAAGTCTTCCTGTCTTCTTATTCCCCCTCTTGCGCTTTTTCACCCTTATCGTCCCGTTCCAGCTTCACTTTTATTCCCCCTGTTTTCAACCCTCCAATTCTCGGCCTTCCTCCACCTTACTTCAGTAGTCGCTTGCCTTTTAGTTTCAATTCACATGTGAACGCGGAGCGTCATTCCTGCCCTGTCAACAGGCCCATGTCCAAGCAAGTGATCAAGCCCAGTTCATCGGCTTCCATTTGGAGTCCTCGGTCCTCCTTCAGATTGGCATGCTACAACGTACGCACATTGCTACAGATCGGTCAACAGGCAGCACTTGCTCGAACATTAGAGACCCTCTCGATCGATATCTGCTGCTTATCGGAGACCCGCCTGTAAGACTCGAGCTCTGTGATCACTCTGCGACCCCCTTCAGGTGACACTAGCAGCACTTTCTGGTTACGCCTATGCGGTGACGATGCAGCTTCGAGCACCGGCCAAGCTGGTGTTGGCATTGCCCTAAGTGCTCAGGTTGAAGCTGCTCTGGTTGATTGGATTCCAATCAGTAGCCGGATGTGTGCGGTCCGTTTGGCTGGCTCGTTCAAAACTTCGAAGTCGCGTGAGACTAACAGGTGTCTATTCGTTATCGCTGCCTATGCACCGACAAACTGTAGCGATGACTCGGTGAAAGGCGACTTCTATCGCCAACTGAACGAACTGCTTCGCCACAGAAGAAGCTCGAACACTGTAGTGCTGGTTGGGGATCTGAACGCTCAAGTTGGAAAATTATCCACAGATGAGCTGCATCTGGGCGGCCAACATGGTATAGGCTCCCGTACTGATAACTGTGCGCGGTTACTTCACTTGTGTGAGGATGCTCGCTTATTTCTTGCGAGCACTAATTTCCGACACAGCACCCGCCGAAGGGTGACTTCGCGCCCACCAGCCTTGGACGCAAATCGATCACATTGCGATAAGTTACCGATGGAGAGGCTGCGTCCAGAACTGTTGCTCGATTTGGAGCACAGGTGTGGACACCGACCATGCACTTGTATGTGCTGACATTCGGCTGCGTTTTGGCGGACGCCCACGACGACGTTGTGAGCGCATTGCCACCAGCCAACTAGCGAAGCCAGCTGTTCTGAATGCCTATCAATGTACGCTGTCATGCGAATTGAGTAAGCACTCATTGGAGGCAATTGCTGGTCACTGGTCACATGTTCGCTAGGCCTAACTAGCAGCAGACAAATCCTCATGTGGTATGTCTAATAGCCAACATGGATATTGGGTCTCTTCGTGGTCTCTGGAACATATTGACGCTCGACGGCATATCCCGACTGGAAACGAACAGAATGAAACTCGCAAAGTGCTCCGGGCAAAACTCCGTGCTAGCCTGGAGAGAGACTGCGAATTTTGGTGGTCTCATCGTGCATCAGAAATGGAAATGGCCGCTGCCCATGGTAACTATCACAAGTTATTCCGTCTGATACGGGAAACGGGTAGCAGGAGATCTGGTGTTAGTGAAACAATTTGTGACGACAGTGGACAGCCTATCCACAACTTGTCAAATTGCTTGGCGCGTTGGGCCCTCCAGCCCTCTTCAAATTCGGGGGACCTGCTCTTATGGATGATTTACACGAGTTACTGGTCAAACTGTGGAAGCAGGAAACTGTCCCAACTGATTGGAGCCGCTCAGTCATAGTCCAAATTTTCAAGGGAGGCTCACGATCGGAATGCGGCAACCATAGAGGAATCAGTCTGATCTCCATCGCCTCCAAATTGCTTGCCTCTGTCATCCTTCACAGACTGACTGGCACTCGTGAAAGCCATAATTGTGAACAGAAAGCTGGATTTCGTCGAGGTCGTGGCTGCATTGACCACATCTTCACCTTGCGTCAGTTGTTGGAGCACCGTCACATATATTGGCGGTGCACCGTTGTCGTGTTCCTCGATATCAAAGGTGCATTCCATACGGTGGATAGACTTGCACTTTGGAACTGTCTACTCAGGAGAGGTGTGCCGGAGAACTATGTAAATATTATCCGAGCATTATATGCTCGTAGCTTGGGCAGAGTGAGGGCTTACGGCAAGCTGTCGTCGCCTTTTAATATCTCCAGCGGGGTGAGACAAGGATGCCCGCTATCACCTTTCCTCCTCAACTTCGCTGTTGACGAAGTCATAGAAATCGCGTTTACAGGACACGACTTAGAAGGTGTGGATCTGCTCCCAGGAGAACGCCTTCTTGACTTAGAGTATGCTAATGATGTTGCCATAATCTGTGACAGCTCACAAATGTGCCAAGCGGCGCTGGACAGATTAGCACTAGCTGTCCGTCACTTCGGGCTTTGCTTCACACCCTCGAAGTGCAAAGCGTTCCTCCAAGATTGGTCTGGACCGCCCCCTACGCTGACCGTTGGTGGGGATCAGCTAGAAGTCGTTCAAAAATTCAACTACCTGGGAAGTTGTATCAGCGCCCGTGGGATTGAGAATGAAGTCACGAATCGTATAGCAAAAGCTCGGGGCGCTTTTGCTAATCTTCGCCACTAATGGCGCTGGCGCGACATCACTCATGCCCTGAAGGGTAGAGTGTACAATGCAGCGGTGCGTTCAACCCTACTGTACGGTTGTGAAACCTGGCCGCTTACAGCAGCGAACGTGAAGTGGCTAGTTACGTTCGACCACCGGTGCCTTCGTAATTTAGCTCACATCTAGTGGGAACACCGCGTGAGCAACGAGCGTGTTCGGCGCCTTGTTTATGGCACAGGAAAAGGAACTGAACCGCTCAGCACCGTTATTTCACGCACCAGGCTCCGATGGCCCGGCCACGTGTTACGCATGCCAGCCCACCGATTCCCGCGACGTGCGTTGTTTGCGCGCCGGGGGTGTGGATGGAAGAAGAGGAGGGGTGGCCAAGCGATGACTTGATCGCGAGGAATGAAGGCCCTCACTTCTGAGCTGGCCTCGGTTGGAGCGTCTCGGCTCCCTGGTTGGGGTCCGAAAGACGATGAACACGTTTGGTTGGACACACTTGCTGATATGGCAAGGAGCCGACCTCAGTGGCGTTTGTGCTGTAAGTTTCTTTGTCCCACCCCATCCCTTTATGCCTTTCCCTTCAACCACGATCTCATTATTTAGCCTTATATAATTTTGCATAGTAATTTTTTTGATGCACAGTAGCCGGCTGGTAGCTTACCGGAACGATGCCCATCCGTTACCGGTAGTTCAACCGGCTTGCCCCAGTTGAATTCTTTTTTTCTCTCCTTTTTTCTGTGTATTGCGGCACAGTAGCTGAGGTGTTCCCCACCTCTAGCTAACGTGTGTGATGATGATGTTTTTCATTTAGCTTCTAACGGTCACGATTGGCCCGATTCCGGTCTACTGGTCTGCGTGCCGGATTGACAACCGTGCGACCGGAGTTCGGCACCTAGGAGCACTGCCAATCGTGCTCGTTTCGGCGGTACTTATACTAAAATTGGAACGATACAATGAACATTGCGATGGTCCCTGCGCAAGGATGATGTTTAAAAGTTAAAACTTACAATTCGTGTACGCTTGACACTCTACAAGAGAGCTTCTCCGCATTCTATCGTCATTCTTGCACCTTATTTTAGGATTAGATTTACGCAACGTTGCTTACCAGTTTTTTTTGTGCCAGTGTTTCTTCATTTTGTGCTCGTAAGACATTTGCAAGCTACCACCTTGTTTTCGTGACCTTCATTAGCTCTGGAGGATCACAAGGAATAATCACTTAATGTCTTGTATCTTCGGGTTTGTGCGGTTTTATGGGGTGTTCAGTGGCCACTTACAGCATAAAATTGCTCATATCCTTTGCCGTTGAACGGAAATTCGTGGTATAACAATTTTAAGTTTGAATATTCGCTGTCCTCTGATCTACCGCGCGCATTCCAAACTTCACGGGGTAGAAGAATTCCCCGCTACCGACTTTCGCCATTTACTTGTGGCCCTCTGTTTCCAGATTAGCATGACTTGTCGAAGTTTCCCACAATTGTTTACGCGATGTTCATGGCGATTTGTTAATCTGCAGTCAATTTTTGTGATAAATTCAGTAAAATCTTGTGTGGTCATCATGATGCGTCACTAACCGTTTTGCAGTCAATTTCTTCCGGGTAGTTTTCTACCATTCGTCCATGACTACTCTCAAACTGTTCTAAAATCCATATAGTGGACACTCGTTTGACAATTTCCGGGAAAGTCTTCACTACTCTTTTGGTGCTTCCCAACAGTCCCAATTCTTTTGGTGGCGTTACCAACCGATGTTTTTAAACGTAGTCTGTCGCAGCTCCTCGTTTAGATGGCAAACTTATGCCTCAGCTATGCGACTGCGTGATGTGGCGAATACAAGCTAAAAACTCCTCCTTACGGTTTGGGCGGGTCTCTTAGAGCTTTCATCATCATCATCATCATCATCATCATCATCATCAACAGCAGCCATACATCGGTGTTCTGAACAGGCACTTCATCGCGGCACAGCTGAAAGTTAGGAACGGTGGCCATATAAGTAAGTAAATTGAAATGCGTTTAAGTGGTCACAAACGATTGGTCATCGTATGGATCTGAGACGGCATCGATGAGGTGGCCTCAGCTTGCATTGCACTATGCATTCTGATCGACCTCACCCGGTGTCGCTTGTGCGGTGCGTTCTGTAATATCGCAGACCACATAGCTGGCGATCTATTTTGTATGATTTTCCAACCGTTTACGTACCTACGTTGAACCATAAAAAACCATAGAAGACATTGGAACGTGCAGTTATCGTAAGAATAAAACAGAATAGAACAATCCATGGCTTATCGGAGGATTCCCTACTACTCAGTTGCCCTAACCGATGTAGGCAGTTGTCTTATGGGATACCATTCAAAGCCTTTGATTAAACAACCTAACCGCAGGCCACCGGATAGTAACCAAGGGAATCGTACCCATTGGTAACCAGTGACAGTTTTTCATTTGGTCGGAAATTCATTCATTTGGTCAGAATTTAACAGCAGACTGCTGAAATACAGTGTTTTACCGCGGTTGAAGCAAGAAGCAATGACTTTAGTTAATTGCGAGTCACATACACCACGCCGCAATGTTGTTATCTGGGCGCATGTGGCTTTTATAGCGAAAGTGCTTGCCAGGCGAATACCCACCACGTTTTGGAACACTTCGTTAGAACAGGCTAACACTAAACCACCCAGCTGGCAATAAAAAAGCATATTCGGTAAGTCAGTCTAGTGATCTGTGCGGAATCGATTCTGGAAGACAAGTCAGTCCAACATCTAATGTATATATTTCAAATCGGTCATCCTGTCTACCTTTCCACAGGCGTCCTCGTTTTTTTCAAGCTCATCATCTTGTTTGTGCATTGTTGTGGATACTGACTACTTTATTGACTCAGTCAGCCATCATTCATCACACCGCATTGCTATCAACCCAAATAGCTCACCGATTGAGCAATTTGCAATTTCAAACGCCTACAGTCTTTCCCTAACTGTTGTAGTGAATTTGCACCATCTTTGCGACCTTAATTTTTGCCGGTGTTGATAATGCACGCAACATGTTTCTCAACGGCTTGAGTATGTTCATTTTTAGGCATTGACCATTTGCACTTCCTTTTTTAGGTGCGAGAGATTTACAATGACCTTAAATTTGACAATCCACCGGGTGGAGTGTGGAAACAGGGCTTTCCCATTCAATGCGAGAGAGAAATGTGGTCCAAGAAGCCACTCGAAGTCTATATCGTGCCGCACTCTCACCATGATCCAGGTTTGTACGTCCGCTATATCAACCTTTGTTTTAACCTATCCTACGTGTCTGACAGTCGTGCATGTATTTTCTCTCTCTCTCTCTCTCTCTCCCTCTCTCTCTAAATGACCAGGCGATCAACTTGTGTGAAATGATTTTTAAAACTGTATACCGGGCCTCGGTTTTCTCGTTCACACAATTACCTGAACCTAAACTGTACATTTTCGCCTGCGTTATCATCATCATCATCATTACCGTCTGCGGATAGTGCTGTCTTAATCGTATTTTGCTCGTATCCTCGTCAGGGCAGCTTACCTCATTCTTTTCATTGTGAAAGTTGTTTTATCCCACAAATATTTGTGTAATCTACTCACATTAGTGATTTGGAATTACTTCATCATAACTACTTGTACTAGCTTGCCGTATTTTCTGTGCTTTTACATTACGTTGATTTAGTCGTGTCGATCGGTGTCTAATTTTGTAATTGCTAAGCAGACACCTTTTGGTAGTTGCTCCAAACTTGTTGGTCATCGCGCAAATGCGATTAGATGCATTTTATGCAGCGTAACATTTCATATTTCTTGTGTTGGCCTGTCTGTGGATCCGTTTCGCGTAATTCAAGGCATGATATTTTGAAGACCATTTTTAAACCATATCAGTCTAAACTTGGGCAGAAAGGATCCGAAAACTCTGACAATCGGATCATTGGAGCGGAGTTCGCTGAAACGCGCAGCTCGATTTATCCTTCACCACCATCAGAGGAACAGACAGCACCTAGTACCGAAGCGAATTTATCCCTGGAACAAAGTGCTAAAGCTCCGTCAACCTCAGCTTCAATGTCTACGCTTTATTTAGTTGACACTAAAGCTCTTCTCTGAAATAAGCAAATTGGTGATAACGAATGTGAAATACAAATACCAAAGAAACCATGATCAACGTCCAGCAACCTGAGGCGCTGCAGCCTCATGGTCTTTCAGGCACCTGAATCCTGTGATTGCAATCCTCAAGTGCGCTGGGAACATGACGTCTAGTTTTTGCAAACTCTGGTTGTTGGACTGCTCGAGGTGGATGAGGGCGGGCTTAAAGTGAAACAGGTCGTTCGTTTCGGAAAGAGGACCGAGGGCGGAAGTCGACCTATGAGGGTGACTTGTTGAAGAGGCAAGTTCTAAATTAACATTGTCCCATCTTAACAGGCTGAAAGGTCTAAAGATCCACGTGCACACTGACTTAGACCCAACAGACAGAGAGAAACTCAAGTCTGCGGTGATTGAACTAAAGCGACGTACGGGCGATGGAGAAACAAATCTCCGCATTGTAAATTTTCAGGTAGTGATCCGGATTCCTCCGCGAATCCGGATCAACAGGTTTCTGATGCTTCAGGCACGCCCAGCGCGTTCCTACCGCGGCCTGCGCCTAGCCTTTACCAACGTCTGCATTCTGATGAACAAACGCGATGACCTGTGCTATTTTATAACCTCTCAGAGACCAGAGGTATTAGGCCTTATTGAGACATGGTTACACTTCGACGTAACCGTCAAAAAAGTGAAAATCAGCGACTACTCGTGCTTCCGCTGTGAGAAACCATCAAATGATCGCGGTGGCGTTCTGCTTTACATAAGCTCTGCCTTGTCTGAGTGACTATTGAACACCTACAGAAGCGCTGATAGTCTACGTGAACAGTTATGGCGTTCGATTTACCTCACACCCTGCGAGGTGCTCGTGGGCGTGATATATCGCAGTCCACTGAGCCGCTGCTTGGACTGGTTGCCGCATGTCTGCAACCACATGAGTCGTCCGCTGTTCCTACTCATGAGCGACTTTAACTTATCGCGAATGCAGTGGCCTGAGGCTGAACTTCTCCCCGACCATTATAAAGTCGAAAGGAAGTTTGCGGAGTTAATATTTAAAATTGAGGCCACACAGCACATCAACCAACTGACGCGCATAACTGCGCGCGCGGCTCCACCGTGCTTAGATTTGCTTTTGACCAGCTGTGTGCAACGTGTGCATGACATTAAACTCTTTGAGCCCTTGGGAGCGAGTGACTACTCGATGATTATAGCCAGCTTGGAACTGTCGATGCCGTATTCTTCCCCGCTGGAGCCAGCCTTCAACTATTAGAAGGCGGACTTTAATAGCCTCGTTTCAGCAGCGAGCCAGATAGACTGGTCTTTACCACAAGATTCATCTATTGAAACCTGTTGGACTATCATTAAAGGGGGAGTGAAATCGTTGTGCGCCCGATTTGTACCTCTCAAATATCGGAAAGTGGGGCCAGTCAAACCACATTGGTTCGACAAGGAGTACAACAAACTGGACTGACGACGACGCAGACTATGGAACAAATTGGTGTTATCTGGCTCTGATGAAGATTACAAGGCGAAATCTCTGCAACAACGCGAATACAAAAAGTGCAGAAGCTTCGAAGAGCAGCTTGCAACTGCCACAAAAACTGCTCCCAAAGGGATCTTCGCCTACATGAAGCGACGCCTGAGGCCTGTAGGCAATACCCAGTGTTAGAAGGCTCAGATGGACAGCCCTAACCTCAAGCACGGATCATGCGTCCGCATTCGCGGCGCACTTCGCCTCCGTATTTTTAAGTGACCAGGTGTCTGTACCGAATTCGACGAGTACCGCTCCCGCTGAACTAGACAGCCTGGATTGCAGCATTGAAGATGTACGTAAGCTTCTGACAAGTCTTAACTGGACGAAGCCTGCCTGGCCAGATGGAATCCACCCACTGATCCTCAAGTCCCTATCGGCCATCATCTCAGCTTCTGTAACTGAATTGTTCAACAGGTCACTATCCACTGGACGATTACCGGGCGACTGAAGATGCTCAGGTTTAAAGCCAATACCGAAAGGTGGTAACCCAAGCAAAGTGGATAACTACCGGCCGATCTGCCTGACGGCTGTTTTAATAAAGATGCTCGAGAAGATCGTGAAGAAGTCTTCTGCAGGTTCTCGAGTCGAAAAGCCTCTTGACGTCCGCACAGCATGGTTTTGTGAAAGGTCGCTCATGCACCACCAACTTACTGTTGACGAGGCACGAATGGTTGCAAACGCTGAAGCAAGGCAAGCCGGTCGTCATTTACATTGACTTCGGTAAAGCTTTTAAATTATGCGGTGCTCCCTGACAGGCTGAGAGTGTGCGGTGTTGGCGGCTCGTTTCATCAATGGATCAAGAATTTCCTTGTTGATCGAAAGCAGACTGTCCAGGTCGACAGCCCTTTGACCGACTGGTATCCATCAAGCAGTGGCGTGCCATAAGCCACTGCACTGCGGCCGTTTTTGTTTCTGATCCATGTAAACGATGTGCCTCAGCTACTCCAATCACCTTGTACGTTCTTCGCAGATGATTTGAAGGTAAGGAGAGTAATCTGCATACCCAATGACTGTGACCTGCTTCATCAGTACCTCGACCACCTCTCCACGTGGTCTGCAGGTGTCAAGCTTCCGATCAACCCGGTCAAGTCGCATTTCATGAGGCTACATAAGTGTGAGCACACTCGAACCTACAAGGTGGCAGGTCAACCGTTGCATCCCGCGCCTTTCGTGCGAGACCTCGATGTATTCTCACGCTACGACCTAAAGTACATGGACAACACGAATAGGCTTTACCAAAACAGCTTTCGTATGCCTTGGGCGCTCAGGCGCAGCTTCAGCACTTGGTCCGAAGTGATTGCCACTCGCCTCTTCGTCTCAATAATACGACCAATGCTAGAGTAAGGCTCTCCCGCGTATTGTCCTATCACCCGGGGTGAGATAGAAAAGACTGAGCGAGTGCAGCATGTAGCTACCAGGCTGATTCCCAATTTACGAGGTGTGCCGTACGAAGACCGGTGTACGAAACTAGGGCTGTACACCCTAGCTTATCGTCGAATGAGGGTTGACCTCATCATGACTCACCGGATATTACATCTGGGTGATTACCCTATGTTGAGACCGCTGCTTCATCTGCGCAGGCCAAGCAGCACATCACGAAGACACCGGTATAAGCTTGTCGTACCGGTTTGAGTCGGGTCACTCACCAAATGTGTTTCGAATGCAAAGTGGTGAATGTATGGTACGGCCTGCCGCAGCACGTACTTGACGCGTAGTCGGTGTTGGAGTTTGAGGAATTCCTGGACAAACACACCCCAACCTAACGGGTATTTATCCCTGAGTGATATTAAATACAGCTACATAAAGATACCACTTCTTGCTGCTTCCAAACAGTTATCATCGTCATTATCATCGTCATCAATCATCATAAACATCAACGTAATCGTAATCAGCCATATCTGTCATTATCATGGGTCAGCCGTACAATCAGTCGATTATGTGTAGACGTTTGTTTTACGGTTTTCTTTGCTCACTTCAGTTCATCTCAATCTATTGGCATCCACCGTACATCACTTGACCATATGACATACCAACAGCACTTGTTTTCTCCGGTGAATTCCCTGTCCGTTATCTTCTACTGTTTACACACGCCGTTTACCCTTCACAGTTCCGTGGTGTATCGCACGGCCTAGGTGTTGCTTATTTAACAGCGGGCTCAATGGCTTGCACACAAGCTCCATACTATGATCAAGATGCAAGTTCCCTTTGTGACCTAGTTCGTTGAGCGACCCAACATCAACCTTCTTTTATTCTGCGTTGTAGCTGCATGTATTTATGAGCTATACATAGACTGGCTGGATCTCTGATGCATCGATCAGTTTGATTGAATGGGTACTTCGTTTCAGCGTGTAGCAACGCTCTGTAACGATGACTAACAAGTCTCCTAATTCACCTGCAACTTTAGTGAATGACAAGGGTATGTGAGATGGAGAAACCCAGTGTTATCATTAACAGCCGAGTGCTATTTCAGCTCATTTGCGACACGAGTCCGAGAAAGTCTTCAGTTAAAGAGACGATAGGTGAGAAAGTTGATCAGCTAATCCATTCTCGGACGTGTTGACTGGCCCATTGCGTGTAACCTTTTGAAATGCAGTTCAGCAGGCCTGCTTCATCACTACCATTTGCTGAATCACTCG